GAGCTTACCAACCAAAAAAAGCCCAGGTCCAGATGGGTTCACAGCCGAATTCTACCAGACATACAAAGAGGAGCTGGTACCATTCCTTCTGAAACTATTCCAAACAATACAAAAAGAGGGAATTCTTCCCAAATCATTTTATGAGACCAACATCATCCTGATTCCAAAACCCGGCAGAGACTCAACAAGAAAAGAAAACTTCAGGCCGATATCCATGATGAACATAGATGCAAAAATCTTCAATAAAATACTGACAAGCCGATTGCAACAGCACATCAAAAAGCTTATCCACCATGATCAAGTAGGCTTATCCGGGGGATGCAAGACTGGTTCAACATATGCAAGTCTATAAACGTAATTCACCACATAAACAGAACCAAAGACAAAAACCACATGATTATCTCAATTGATGCAGAGAAGGCCTATGACAAAGCTCAACAGGCCTTTATGCTAAAAACCCTCAATAAGCTAGGTATTGATGGAACATATCTCAAAATAATAAAAGCTATTTATGACAAACCAACAGCCAATATTATACTGAATGGGCAAAAACTGGAAGCATTCCCCTTGAAATCTGGCACTAGACAAGGATGCCCTCTCTCACCACTCCTATTCAATATAGTGCTAGAAGTTCTAGCCAGAGCAATCAGGCAAGAATAAGAAATAAAGGGTATTCAAATAGGAAAGGAGGAAGTCAAATTGTCTCTATTTGCAGATGACATGATTGTATATCTAGAAGACCCCATCGTCTCAGCCCCAAATCTCCTGAAACTGATAAGCAACTTCAGCAAAGTCTCAGGATACAAAATCAATGTGCAACAATCACATGCATTCCTATACACCAATAACAGACTTAAAGAGAGCCAAATCAAGAATGAACTGCCATTCACAATCGCCACAAAGAGAATAAAATACCTAGGAATACAACTAACAAGGAACGTAAAGGACCTCTTCAAGGAGAACTACAAGCCACTGCTCAACAAAATAAGAGAGGACACAAACAGATGGAGAAACATACCATGTTCATGGTTAGGAAGAATCAATATCGTGAAAATGGCCATACTGCCCAAAGTAATTTACAGATTCAACGCTATCCCCATCAAGCTACCAATGACGTTCTTCACAGAACTGGAAAAAACCACATTAAACTTTATATGGAACCAAAAGAGAGCCCGCATAGCCAAGTCAATTCTAAGCAAAAAGAACAAAGCGGGAGGCATCACACTACCGGACTTCAAACTATACTACAAGGCTACAGTAATCAAAACAGCATGGTACTGGTACCAAAACAGAGATATAGACCAATGGAACAGAGCAGAGGTCTCAGAGGCAACACAACATATCTACAACCATCTGATCTTTGACAAACCAGACAAAAACAAGCAATGGGGGAAAGATTCCCTGTTTAATAAATGGTGTAGGGAAAACTGGCTAGCCATGTGCAGAAAGCAGAAACTGGACCCCTTCCTGACACCTTACACTAAAATTAACTCCAGATAGATTAAAGACTTAAACATAAGACCTAACACTATAAAAACCCTAGAAGAAAATCTAGGCAAAACCATTCAGGACGTAGGTGTAGGCAAGGACTTCATGACCAAAACACCAAAAGCATTGACAACAAAAGCCAAAATAGACAAATGGGACCTAATCAAACTCCACAGCTTCTGCACAGCAAAAGAAACAGTCATTAGAGTGAATTGGCAACCAACAGAATGGGAAAACATTTTTGCAGTTTACCCATCTGACAAAGGGCTGATATCCAGAATTTACAAAGAACTAAAACAGATTTACAAGAAAAAACAAACAAGCACATACAAAAGTGGGCAAAGGATATGAACAGACACTTTACAAAAGAAGACATACATGAAGCCAACAAACATATGAAAAAATGCTCATCATCACTGGTCATCAGAGAAATGCAAATCAAAACTACATTGAGATACCGTCTCATGCCAGTTAGAATGGCAATCATTAAAAAATCTGGAGACAACAGATGCTGGAGAGGATGTGGAGAAATAGCAACACTTTTACACTGTTGGTGAGAGTGTAAATTAGTTCAACCATTGTGGACGACAGTGTGGCGATTCCTCAAGGACCTAGAAATAGAAATTCCATTTGACCCAGCAATCCCATTACTGGGTATATATCCAAAGGATTATAAATCGTTCTACTATAAGGACACATGCACACGAATGTTCACTGCAGCACTGTTTACAATAGCAAAGACCTGGAACCAACCCAAATGCCCATCGATGACAGACTGGACAGGGAAAATGTGGCACATATACACCATGGAATATTATGCAGCCATCAAAAACGATGAGTTTGTGTCCTTTGTAGGGACATGGATGAACCTGGAAACCATCATTCTCAGCAAACTGACAGAAGAGCAGAAGATCAAACACCACATGTTCTCACTCATAGGCGGGTGTTTGAGCAATGAGAACAGAAGCCCAGTGAATCTATAAGACTTGCCCTATTTGATATAACTACAGAGTAAAGGGCTGGATCACAAGCAAACATCTGTTAAATCCCAATCCCATGATTTTTCTAATTCCCATCATTCCATCATTCCAGAGCTGGTGAGAGGAAAGATTCAAGCTTCATTTTTCTTTATACCCAGCATATATAGAGTTTGTATTGTTTACGGATCATCTTTGTGCTCTACCATTTATAACCAAAGGAATAATAACATCATTAAATATCACATGCTGTTTTGACAACAGAGTGAATTATTTCTACTGTATCTCAACAGTAAAATTTAGGAAAATATTAAATTTAATTTTAATATTATTATTACAATAATACCATGGTAAGATCTTTCTTTATATTAGGGGCCAGGTGTAGTGGCTCATGCCTGTAATCCCAGCACTTTGGGAGGCCAAGGTGGGGAGATCACCTTAGGTCAGGAGCTCGAGACCAGCCTGGCCAACATGGTAAAACCCTTTCTCTACTAAAAATACAAAAATTAGCCAGGTGTGGTGGTGCATGCTTGTAATCGCAGCTACTCAGGAGACTGAGACACAAGAATAGCTTGAACCTGGGAGACAGAAGTTGCAGTGAGCTGAGATCACACCACTGCACTCCAGCCTGGGTGACAGAGCAAGACTCCCTCTAAAAGTAAATAAATAATAATAAACAAAAAGATCTTTCTTTATGTTAGGAACAAAAATTAGTTTCTATAACAATGACTTCTCCCAAAGGTACAATTCAAAAAACAAAAGCAACTGGGCTCACACCTGTAATCCTAGCACTTTGGGAGGCCAACATGGAAGCATCAGTTGAGCCTGAGAGGTCAGGCCTGCAATGAGCTGTGATCATGCCACTGCACTCCATTCTGGGTGACAGAGCAAGAACCCATCTCCAAAGAAAATGCAATTAAAAAAAAAAAATAGAAAGTGAAATATTCTATTGCAATTGTCAAAAGAACCATAATATTATACTTAAAATTGTGTTTGTTATTAACTTTTCAAAAATCAGTTTTTAAATAGCATAAATACCTCATCAGAATAGGAAACAGATCTGCTCGGTGGACTGTTTTCACTACAGTATTATCTTCTGAAATGCTAAAATGCACTATCTCTTCCTTAAAGCTTCTGTCTTCAAGCAACCTTTGTAAGTTTTCCCTTTAAAAACAGAAAACAGCACAAATTACCACTTTATCAACAGTACTTTTAAATAATGCAAGAGTGAAATAATATGTGCAACAGTAATAACTAAAATACAGTATATAGTACATATTGTGGTTGGTATCCATAAAGGAAAATGTTAAAAAAAAAAATCTCCTAAAATAACAGATTTCGGAATTTCAAAGGCTATAATGGATTAGAAGAGATTTGATTCTGTCCATAACTCAGCTGTTTAAAAAAGCATGATACAAAAAGCTTTCTTCAGTTCTTAAAGTGACTTTGATTCTCTGAGTAACCACCAAGATTTTATGGCATTATATTAATAAGAAGAAAATGACATAGTATTTACAACACATTTTTAAAATGAACATTTTCTATTTTAGTATCTATGGATAACAACCCAACATAATACACCACTCATTTTCATTTCTTGTTTGGAAATATGACCTCAGAAAAAAGAAATTTCCCATGCCTTTAAGAAATTATTCTAGAAGCAGCTCTTATGCAGAAATATAGAAATCAGCCAAAGAAATAACAGTTCTTTAAGCTTCAAGTAACTTACCTGTAAGGCAGGATGTGAGGATGTTTATATGTCATTATGCAATCCAAGGTTATTTTTTGCACCATTTGATCTTGGTGTAGCAACAACTAAGAAAAGTATTTTACCGAATTAATGAAGTCATAGATACATATACCATAGGATAGCAATTTACTTGTGGTTATTTGCTAAATTAGATTTCCTAAATTCTAAATATTTAGACAAAAGCTAAAGCTGATTCCTAACAACAGCTCTACATTTTCCTGGAAGTAATGGAAGATGAACAGAATATGTGCAAAGTAAAAAATGAAAACAAAACTCTGACACCTGTACCCCACAGCCATACCCTTGAGACTACCAGCGTTGGGGTGAGGCCAATCCTCTCTCTCCCTTTTTTTTTTGAAACAGAGCTCTGTTGCCCAGGCTGGAGTGCAGTGATGTGTTCTCAACTCACTGCTGACACCTCCACCTCCTGAGTTCAAGCAATTCTCCTGTCTCAGCCTCCTGAGAAGCTGGGACCACAGGCACCCACTACCACACCAAGCTAATTTTTGCATTTTTGGCAGAGACATGCTTTTACCATGTTGCCCAGGCTGGTCTTGAACTCTTCAGCTCAGGTGATCTGACCACCTTGGCCTCCCAAAGTGCTGAGATTAGAGGTGTGAGCTACTGTATCTGTCCTGGTGAGGCTGATACTCTATGTGAATCTGAATTTAAGCCAACTGGGCTGGTCATGTACTAAGGAAAATCTCTTATCCTAGGTAATGACAGTCAATAAGATGCCAGGAAAAACATCCAAATTAAAAAAGAAAATTTGGTTTCCCCAGCTGGCCTAGCATGACATCTAATGTTTACTTCATTTCTGACATGAATTTTTTTCTGCAAGCTTATCTGAAATGCAGGGTCACATAATTATGACTGCAATGGACTATAACAGATCCTGAAATCCCAGTCCTTTATGAAGTCTGACTAAGCTAGAAAGGAAAAGTAGTCACTTGTTTTTTTGTATAAACCCTACTTCCTTCTAAAAGCTAATCTCCATCATACAATTCATGCTTTGCTATTCTCACTGTTAATACAGCCAATCAATGTTTAGTCACCCAAAATGCCTTCAAAATCAGCAAGTTAGTTCTAAAATTGTTTCTCAAGATAACAGAAAATACGTCTATTAAAAAAGCCTTTAATACTTAAAATGTAGACATGAGCCCTATTCAGCAAACAATTATTGAAAACCTAAAAGCTACTCTGACAAAGAAAATGAGAGAGAAAAGTTCACAAAGAGTTATAGTGCCAAAAGTTTATTTTACTGACCTGAAGATACAACTCATATAACTTGGATTCCAGATATAAGGCCCGTGGATTTGAAAATTTAGAGAAAACTTGCAAATGAGCAATTAATTGCCTAAACAGAAACAAAACAGAGAGTGCTACAGAATTAAAGAATTGAGATATTCTTAAACTGACATTACCTACAATTGTATTCTGACTAGAACTTCAAACACACAGCCTATAGTTTCACTGTTAATCATACAAACAAGACTTAGTTATTTACATTTAGGAAATTATTCTCCAGAAAGTCTGTATCTTGGGCAGGCCTTTCCCTGAAATTCAGGTTCTCCACACCAAAAAATTAGAAAGTAACCAGAATTATAACATATTCCAAAATTGAACTCATATGATGTTTGGAATTATGACTTGTCTAGGTTCTATGAGGCAGACAGGAAAGTTAGAATATATTCTCCTCACTTTCACATGATATAAATACAGATGTCAGGCATAAGAGGTCCAGATTTAGGTAACCATTGCTCTTGCTGACCAAGAAGGAAAAAGAAATGTATTTGAATATTTTTGCACTGTGGTTGACTGCTTGTAACTAAAATCATGGGAAGCGAGACATGGATAAGGGGAGAGTATTGTGTAGTCACATGAAGGCGCGTCATAATCTTTCCTGCCCCTGTGCTTTCTCCACTGTTTCTGTTAGTGGACAAGCCCTTCTTTGTTCTAGCTATCTGGCAAACTTTCATCTTTCAGCATCAGAGGGCCTTCCCTGAGTCTTTTTTGTTGTTTTGTTTTGAGATGGAGTCTCACTCCATAGCCCAGGCTGGAGTGCAGTGGTGCAACCTCGGCTCACTGCAACCTCTGCCCCCAGGTTCAAGTGATTCTCCTGCCTCAGCCTCCCGAGTAACTGTGATTTCAGGCACACATCACCACACCTGGCTAATTTTTGTATTTTTAGTAGAGATATGGTTTCACCATGTTGGCCAGCCTGGGCTCAAACTCCTAACCTCAAGTGATCTACCCACCTCAGCCTCCCAAAGTGCTGGGATTACAGGCGTGAGCCACCACATCTGGCCCTTCCCTGGGTCTTTGTGGTAGAACTACGTAATTCCTTACCGTGCTCCAATAACTTCTTTAAAAATATTTCTCCCGGCATTGACTATGGCTCCTGCATCATGGTGGCTATGTACAATTCACCTCTGCACACCAGCACTTAGCAAAGGGTACTTAATACAGTTGCTGAATGGAACTAATAAATGGCTCATGGGAAATATGAAACCAATGGGCATATCAGATTGAGATCTAAAGTGTTAAAATAACAGTTGCACCAATCCAGTGGACTTCAGACACTCAATTCAGACAATCATCAAGTAAACTGAAGAAACTTCTAAAAGCATGATCACTTCTTCTTTTGGGTTTCAAACAATTTAGGTAAATGAACAACTAAGAGAATAAGGAAAAGAGTATAACACCAGCATGAGAAAAAAGTAACCAGTAGGAGACAAGTTAAACGGTAAAGTGCTGACAGGATGGTGGGGAAGGTGGGTAGAAGTAAAAAAAAAAAAGTGCTAGTGTGATTATTTATAAGAAAAAGGATGTTCCATTACATGTTTCCCTAGCACACAAACACAATACCCTCATGCTAAGTAAGCACACGACAAAGGTCAAAGAATATCCAAACATTCCAGGTCCCAAAGTTCTCACCTATAAAAAGAGGCTACAGTTAGATGACTCTCAAAATTCTTCCCAAGCTACCATTATGTAGCTAAACAAACAAAAACTAATAGTAACTAACCAAAAAACTCGGAAGAATGGCGGTTTTTTTTTAAGCTGTTAAGGAAAATCCCAGGAAGATGTAGCATTTACATAAATAATTATCTGAGTTGTTCATTTTGTATAAAGCCGTAACAGACCTCTTCCTGTTCCTACTAGAACCGTGGATCTGTGATTTTTCAGCAATGGTGAACTTACTTTGCTGCGGCTCTTCTTGTCTTTTTCGTCTGTGAGGATTCATTTTGGGGCACTGCCTCTTCCTCCAACTCTTCATCATCTCCTAAGGCAGGTTCCTCTTCGATTTCCTCTGCCACCAACCTTTTGCCTTTTCTCCGCAGATCCTGGGTTGGAGCAACTTGTAGATCTGCTGGGTAATACTCATTGCTACCATGGAAAGAAAGTGATAGGAGACTGATGAAGAATGCACACCAATCTGAAATGTCCTGATTCTGTTCACAAGAGATGTCCACAGTTCACAGAATCACACACTGAAGACACACCAGTAGCACCTTAGTCAAGCTTCCACAATATTACTCTTTTTTAATTTGGTCCTTCTTTAGTATGCTTTTTGACAAGTGAATCACTAATTGTAGAAGATAGCCCATTCCACCATTACACTATTAAAAATATCTGAAATGCCTATCTTGTACTAAGTAGAAATCAAGTCTTCCTAACTCTGGAACCACCACTGGGGGATAAGAGGTTAGGGATGAATTATATTAAATGATTTAAAGTACAGCATTAGGATTGTGCTGCTCACTTTCCATCAGATACATTCTGCTTTGCCAAAGTTCTCTTGAAAGTATAGTACGATCACAAAATTTAGTCCTTCAGGTATGGATTAATAAGATAGATGGAATTATCACCTCCAAAACTTTTTTGGGCAGCCAAAACATGATGAAGATTGAAACTGAATGTCCATGCACTGAAAATCTGTGAGTCTTTATGTTTTATCTCCTCTAAGCTAAGCTTGTGCAGCTAAGCTTAATACAGTATTCACTTTGTTCTTTGTTTGTTAAATTTCATCCTTTACTTGTGGTCCATTGTTGTAATTAGTGAATATTATCTTGAAGTCTGTCATTTAATGCATTAGTTTGTGTCACTTTCATTCACTCATCCACAAATTAACCTGTTGTTGTCTATTGAATGCAGGCACTGGGCTAAAGATGGTAGGAAACTGGATGGCCTTTCAAGTCCTCACTCAAAAACACACTGATAAAATAACATGTTTGAGGATAGCACCCTACCAACCTTCCTAAAAGAAACTAGGTTAGCACAAGTTAACGTCCAGATCAGTAACACTAAACTACAATCTGAGGGCTGGGACAGTATGATCCTTTATATTTACATCTAGCAGAATCTAGCACTTAATAAATAAAAAATGGATCAATGAAATGAGTAAAGTTTCTGTAAGTTAAAAACTGCACGATCATCCACTTAATAACATACCTATTATATGTGCAACATTCAATTAACCACATATTACATACTGTAACCTTTATCTCCATGAATAGCATGTTCACTCATTCATCTATTAAAAGCATCTATAAGAGTGCCCAGCACACAGTAAGTACTCTGTGGGAGTAGATGCCACCTTTTATTGGGATGCTGTTGCCATTGTTAGTCATTCATTCTTGTTCCTGGTTTGGCTTGTCTCAGACAATGTTTACAAAGGAATCAAAGGATTCACAAATTAGTTCTAATACCAAATTAATTGAAACATATTTAGAAATATAAATTGCTAGCCAAAAAACAAAAAGCCTATAATATACTTCAAAGTCAGAATTAAAGGTGACATTTGGGTTTTCCATTAGTTTGGATGATCTATAAATGTATTATTTATACGTAATCCATGCCCACAGTATTAATTTAAACATTTCTTAGAATTGTGTATCTTTAGTTTCTAAATCTTTCTAAACTCAGAGACCCACTTCCTGTTACAGGCTCCTGTTTCTACCTCTACGTCACAGCAAATTGTACCATTAGCATAAGATCTTATCCTTAAGCTATGGGGTAAACTAATTCTTTAGGGAAAATAGAAAATTAACATGGCAAAAACTTCATATGCTACTAACACCACAAATGCCAGCTGACATATGTACAGCCCTTGCAATTCAAAAACAGCTGATAAACATGATTTAATATAACCCTCAAAACAAAGCAAAAAAAAGCTAAACACCATTCTTATTCAATAAATTTATGCCCAAGGAACTATTTGAAAAAGAGAAAATCATTGCTCTTCTGCCACTCTATCTACTGACCTGCTACATCTTCGCTTGTGCCTTTGCCAGAATGAATCATTCATGCAAACCTTTGAATTTATGCATTGTATCCATTTCCTCTTACCTATTTGAAGACATAGTTCTAGTCATTTTTTTCTGGAGACAGAATCTAACTCTGCCGCCCAGGGTGGAGTGCAGTGGCGCCATCTTGGCTCACAGCAACCTCTGCCTCTGAGGTTCAAGTGATTCTTCTGCCTCAGCCTCCTGAGTAGCAGCGATACAGGCGCACGTCACCATGCCTGGCTAATTTTTGTATTTTTAGTAGAGATGGGGTTTCACCATATTGGCCAGGCTGGTCTCGAACTCCTGAGCTTGTGATCTGCCCGCCTCCGCCTCCCAAAGCGCTGGGATTATAGGCGTGAACAACAATGCCTGGCTGGTTCTAGCCATTTCAACCTCCTTCTTGCATTACCAATTCTCCCCTCCCGTCTGGATCATTTACAATGGTATCCCATACATACACATTGTTAAGTCTTTTTGGGGGGTAGCAGGGACAGTCTCACTCTGTCTCTGTCGCCCAGGCTGGAGTGCTGTGGCAGGATCTCGGCTCACTGCAACCTCCGCCTCTGGGTTAAAGTGATTCTCCTGCCTCAGCCTCCCGAGTGGCTGAGGCTACAGGCACACACCAGCACGCCCAGCTAATTTTTGTATTTTTAGCAGAGATGGGATTTCACCATGTTGGCCAGGCTGGTCTCAGACTCCTGACCTCATGTGATCTGCCTGCCTAGGCCCCCAAAAGTGCTAGAATTACAGGCATGAGCCACTGTGCCTGGCCAATAATGTTAAGTCTTAACCCCAACAACAACAGCTCAGATTAATCAAAATAACTCCTTAGGGTCACCTTCATGTGGGTCACTCTTGCTCAGGTCATTCCAAAGCCAATGGTCACTTCTTATTTCTCATCTGACTGACTTCTCAGACACATCTGAATCAACTGATTAGTGCCGCCTTAAAATAGTCTCTTCACTTGGTTTCCAGGATACCAAGTGGGCTTTGTTCTTCTGTCACTTTTTCCTGGCTTTCTTTGCTGGTTGCTTATCTCCTCATTTCTAAATATTGGCATCAGACCCTGGAAGTCTTTTCTCTCTACAGGCACACTCTAGCTGACTTCATTCCCTATCTGATGATTTAAAATACCATCTATACATTGATAATTTCCAATTTGTTATCTCCAGATCAAACCTTTCCCTTTAACGCTGAACTAAATTAAATGCCTCTCCACATGACACCTCTACTTGGTTATCTATTCAGTATTCCAAACTTAAAACATCTAAAAATGGACTTTTAATTGTCCACCACAAACCTGCAACTCCTACATTCTTCCTATCTCAGTAAATAGTAACTTTCTTCTAGTTGCTCAGGCCAAAGCCTTAGGGAACATCCTTGAGTCTACCCCTCCCCCATTCCTTCCCTCCCTCCTTCCTGTCCCACTCCCCACCACACACACCCATTCCACATCTGATCTGCTGGCAAATCCCAGAGGCTGATCTAGTTGCCATCTTTCATAAATGTAACTTGTTGCATTGAAATCATTCAAAAAATACCTATCTTCACGGCTATAACCTTGGTTAAGTTGCCGTCACTTCTTGCCTGGACTTGCAATCTCCTCCTGACTGCTCTATACTCTTACCAATGTTATTCTGCAGTCTCCTCTCAACACAGCACCCAGAAAAATCCTTAAGAAACCTTAAGTTAGTCTGCTGTTTAAACCTCCAAATAGCTTCTCATTTCACCGAAAGAAAGAGCCAAAGTCCTTCCTATTACTTAAAGGCCCTACACAATTTCATCTCCTGCTGACTTTCTGCCCTCATCTCCAACCTTGTCCTCCCTGGATCACTCTGCTAGAGCCACTCAGATCTTGCTGTTCTCTGAACAAGTCAGGCATGTTGTAGTTTATGGCCTGCTTGACCTAACCCCACAGCATTTCCCCAGGAAACTACTATAGGAAATCATGCTTTTTTTGTAATGTTCTACACAAGACACCCCTCATCTTTAGTTTTAATACAATCAGACTCTCACATAGCATATCCAGTCAAAACAAAACAATGCTCCAGAAAACTCTGTAGGTGGAAACGTCAAAAGGCCCAAAACAATGTTGGTGTTAGGTCACTGGAAAACACTTTCAAGCCCCCAGGCAGGCAATAAAATAATGAATAACAGGACAAGAAATAACAAAGCCTTTCTACGCGGATCAAACTCAATGTGGCCCTTCTTATACTGTAACCTGGAATTTTTTATGAATACCATTTGTGCACTGCTTAAATTTTGATTGAGATAAAAATTAAATAGTGAACTAAAGTAGTCTAGTTGTTACCTGATACAGCCAGTGCTTTACAGCTGTGCCAGTGATTTGAAAATGTGACAGATGTATAAAGAACTCAGCCTAATGGATGATTAGAAGCAGAAAGAAAAAAGACAAAAAACAAAAAAACACAAAGAACTCAGCTAATTTGGGAGGTTAATACTTCTCACGCTCTCTTCTTTACACCCCACCAGGGACATATTCTTAGAAGAGGACATTTACTTGATAAATCTCAAGAAAAGTGGAGAAAGCTCCCTGGACCGTGGCTCTACTCTCTCTGGGAATTTTGTCAGAGCTTTCCAGAGCAGGAATCTGAAGTTGGTGTGGTCCAGTCTTTCCCGACAGTCAGTTTTCAATGCTATCTGCTCATGATAAAGGGCTCCAACATCTCCTTCCTGGGTCTGCTCCAAACTTTCATCTTCAATGGATTTCTCATCTCTCATATCACTCTGTAATTCTTTCTCTGCAAGGAAAAAAGTCATCATAACCACTAGACAAATGTTGATATTTAACTTATGTGTTTCCTCAAGAAAGGGCATTCCTAATGGATTGGAAATGCATAATATATATAATGTAAGGAAACAATGTCTCTCCCAAGGCTGGGCGTGGTGGCTCACGCCTGTAATCCAAGCACTTTGGAAGCCAAGGCAGGCAGATCACCTGAGGTCGGGAGTTGGAGACAATGTCACTCCCAAAAGTTATCAAGATAATATGTCTTATCTCTGTTTTCCGAGTAATTAATTAAGAGGTAAAAGTGAAACAGTTAAGCAACCACCTTTCTTGGCAGCCTACTCACAACCCCTTACATACCAGCATGTGTAGCTGCTTTTTCTAGATGCTCATAGTAGACTTTCCAAAATTGCTTATTTTCCATTTCGTGTGCATGAGAACTAAGAAAAAAAAAATCACAAAACAAAAAGTGTGGGATGGTCATTTTAAGATTGCTCATAGAAAAAAAAGAGTGAAAGGCTATAACTAAAATGTTAATTAGGTTATCCCTCAATGTGGGGTCGTAAACACCTTTTGCACTTTTCCATATATTTCAAAATGCCTGCACTGAGCACAAATTATTTTTATAGTCAAAGAGCACTAAAGAGTATTTTTAAAAATGTAAGTAGATCCTTAAGAGAAAATCATTTTTAAAGTCACGCTAATGGGACTAGGGCATATGGCATGAATAAAATCCATTAAGAGAAGAAGGAGGCCTCTGGAGAGAAAAGTCAGTTTGTTCAAAACTAACTTAAAAATAATGAGTTTCCCTCCACCAAATTTAAATATACTTATTAACACAAAGGCAAAATAAACATTTACTGACTATATGAAACATACTTTTCAGAACTTAAAAGGAGACATTAGATGGATCACAATAAAGTGTTTATGTAGTTGGATATCATAGCAACAATACTCTCAAATATTCTGTCACTGATTTTCTAAGAATATATATAAACTTTACACATGACATGAACTATATATGCTGTGGACAAACTATACTCAGAAAATGAACCAACAGGTGTGTTGTTGTTTCTATCCTTCCAAACAGAAAGAGGTGCCCAACAGGAAGACAGCCCAGCCACAGGGAGGATGATTCATGGGTTTAGTAATTGAAGAACCAACACTGTTGATAGTGTGCTATTGGTAACCCATATGTCAAATTCTCTTCTGAAAGTGCAATAAACAAAATAATGAAGCTGATGTTGGGAGAATCTTGCTTTTGGCACACTAGTTTGATGGCTTTGAAGGATAGTAAAAGGTAGACAAATTGGTTTCAAATTGTAAAGGGATCTGTCTATAAATGGTAACTCTCTTATTCTGTCAAATAAGAACTAATAACTAATCGTTGGGGTTTTCAAAGGCTTCACATGACATGTTTCCAATCTAATAAAAAATGAGTGTGTATTATCTGAAGACAAATGTCTAAAGACAGATTTCTACACATGAGCCATAAGATATATTTTCTAAGTGACCACTGAAGGCTTTTGGGGGCTAAAGGGATTTTGGATGCTACACAGCAAGGTTTTGAAAGTCTTTATTCTTTAAGAATGGCTCAATGACTCAATTATAAAAAAAAAATTATACAATTATTATACCTCCTTGCTGTAAAAAATTTTAGTAACACAAAAGTATCATAAAAGCAAACAGAGAAAGTCCTCCAAAGTTATTTCGGCACACAGAGACACACATATAACATTGGAACTGCTGAAGATGTGGCACCAGAAAGAATAGCTCATGTTTATTTTTAATTTACCTTGTCTCACAAAGGATTTAAAGTAGCTGTAAATACCATATACACCCATTCATTTAAATCACACCTAGAAGGAGTATAATCTGGGCCCCATCATACTGCAGTAGTTAAAACAGAATAGTTCCAGCCCATTTAACACATTTACCTTATGAGTTCAATAACAGGATCCCAGAGTGCGCTAAAATTAACATACAGCATGCCTAACAAATAACGAAGTGGCACCTGCAATCACAGGAGACTAGTTTAGTAGTGGGCAATGAAATACAATACAGAAGAACAGCAGTTTTGAAATGCAAACGTCCCAAGTTGAAAAACCTGAGGTTTGGGAAGAAGCCTACGCAATAAGAAAAAAAGTTACAGGCACCAATCCAAAATCCAAAATTAGTGTATACTGATTTTTCTCTTCTCCTCAAAATGTCACTCACAATTTAAAATAGAAGAATCACTACAGCAAACATATTATTCAAATTCACTCGAGGTGTTCATTCATTTAAATGAACAGATTTGACTAATGATTAAATACCTTTCTAACAAATGTCGGGGTCACCAGATTAAGACAAAACTTCAACAGTAGTCAGTAACGCACATATGCCAAAGAATGCAAGGAAACATGCTGTGAATGGCTGAGGCTTTGCAAGTTCAGTCAGAGGCTAAAGTTTCCCAGTCATCTTTTGGAATGAGGGTCCGTATTACTAATACCCCCAAGTGCTAGGGAGGCACCATCTAGATTGCTAGTTTTATTATTACTTAGGGGTGGGGTGTTTGTATATATTCTAGAAGCAGTCTTTTTCCAAATGAAACAGGAGACCCTAATATATAAAACAGGCAAGAGCAGAACTGCTCTGACTAAAGAAAGAATGCAGAAAATAAAAACAGAAAAATGTTTATCACAAAATCAACCCTCACTTCACAGGGTCTGTAAGCCACTCACCGAACTTTGCTTTTCCCGAGAAAGGGTCCCTTCCCAGCCCAGGCACAACAGGGTTGGGCGGGCTCTGATGCCCAGGGCCTCCTCTGGCAGCCTCCCATCTGGGCAGTGGAGCCATAAACAGAATCAAGAAGAGGGCATCCACTTTTTTACAGGAAGAAGGGACTCATGCATAAAGGGGGTGGGGGGGGTTCCTGATTTTGAAAATAATTGATTTGTAGCTTCTCTTCTATAGAAACCAACACATCTTTCTGCCAATCCTCTCTCCCCTCAGGACACCTCTCTGGTTCGGGACCAATCCCTCCTTGGGGACATGCCCCACCCGTGTGCCGGCTGAGCTCAGGAACCCCTGCCTGCCCCCTGGGTGGGGCTGCAGCTCTGGCCTTCCAGGCCCATCCTCAAAAAAAAAAACAAAAAAAAAACAAAAGTAAGGCCCTTGGGGCCTTACTCCCAAAGGGATCTGTGATGTATCTTCAAGGGTCATGGAATGAAAACTGATATAAAACATAGAGAGCTGATGTTCTGCAGTAGCAAACAAATCTAGTAAAGAAAAGCAGACTTTAAAACTGACACTGAGTCCTCTGTGGCCACTACCTACCTACCTACCTACCTACCTACCTACCTACCTACCTACCTATGTCACTCAGGTTAAGTGAGCCCCTGCTTACTCATTTCTAAAAAGGTATTAACATGGCCAGGTACAGTGCCTAATGCCTGAAAGAGAGAATACTAAGTTTTTCTACTTCTTAAAAACCTGGCAGAGCTACTTAACTCAAAGCATTTAAGGGAACTGGGGATTTCCTTTGTTATTTTAAATTATTATTATTATTATTATTATTATCATCTTGGTGACTACTTGGTATGCATCCCAAAACAGGATTTAAAACACTAATTAAAAAGAAAAAAAAAAAGAAGCACTACCTCCTGTAATAGCCCATCTGGGACTGCAGTCTGCACCACATCATGTCTTAGTTTTCTCAAATGAAGAAGCTTCTCTCTATAATCGTTCACAGTTGCTGGAACAAGCTCTGCCTGGCGTAATATGGCAAAGACAGACTGCTGCTCTGAGACCCCATCATCCTGAATAACCAGAGAAAACCGTAGAGAAGATAGGTCAGTATTTTGATTTTCCAAAACGAACCTTAAATGTGAGCAAAGGTCTAAAAACAGAAAAACAGGAATATGTTAATATTTTTAATGAAATAACCAACACTTTTTTTGGTAAGCGATTCTTTTCTCCTCACACCATTTACTTCTTGGTAGATAATTTAGTGTCTAGCACCTAAACGACAACTAAAAAACAGGAAAATCATTCTCAAAAGTCACTTAAATTAATTGGCAACATTTGTTGAAATAAAAATAAAATGTATATATGCTTTCACTTCACAAATCTACTCCTAGTAATCTGCATTATAGAACTATTTCCCTACATAAACATATCTGTATAAGAATGTTCACTGCAGTGTTGTTTGAAATCCTAAAAAAAAGCAAAACCCACCTAACCATCCATCAACAGGAAAGTGGCTAAATAAGACATTTTCAACTGTGGAGTAGTATTCAAACTTCAAAAGGAATGAGGTAGATACTGGCCAGGCGCAGTGGCTCACACCTGTAATCCCAGCACCTTGGAAGGCCAAGGAAGGCAGATCACTTGTCAGGAGTTTGAGATCAGACTGGCCAACGTGGTAAAACCCTGTCTCTACTAACAATGCAAAAATTAGCCGGACATGGTGGCAGGCGCCTGTAATCCCAGCTACTTGGGAGGCTGAGCTAAGAGGATCGCTTAAGCTGGGGAGGTGGAGATTGCAATGAGCCAAAATTATGCCACTGCACTTCAGCCTGGATGACAGAGTAAGACCCCGTCTCAAAAAAAGAAAAAAAAAAAAAAAGAAAAGAAATGAAATGAGGGAGGTATGAAGTAGACATAGAGGTAACTGTATGGAAAAACCCCATGATATCATTTGTTTAAATTATCTGTGTGTGTGTATTCAAAAAGTTTGAAAGAACATTTACCATTTAACGGTAGATTTTCAGTGGTGACTTTGTTGGTAGAAAAGAGTAAGAATTACCCCCCCAAAAAAATTAATTTTATGATATGATAGATATGTATAAAGTATGTTAATTTTCTGCAAAGGTATCATTTTGGAAATTACAATAATATGTAAAACTATGTATTTTTATACAGTTAAAATACCTCCATTGATTCTGGAAGCTGGACCTCAAAATGGTTTAGGATCCTTATTGTCGAAAGCCGAATCTGGAGAAAGTAAAAGGCATCTTTCAAATTCCAAAGTTTAACCATAAAAGAATCTAATTCACAGTCAGCGAGATTTAAGTTTTATAGAATTAAAAAAAAAAATACCATTTGACCAGAGCAATATGCGTCTATTCTAGCCCTTGTTTCATATTCAACACCAAGCAACACCTAATTCAAATAGTACATGGACCATAACTCTTTCTTTGAACTATGACACTATAACCATTTCTGTAAACAAGTTCAAAGAAGTTGATTAAGCTGACAATTCAATTAAAGTTAGCGATTTTTGTTTTTAACTAATGTACAATTCAGGTATTTCCACATACCTAAATGAGCAGGAGAACCACATAGAAGACTTAAAAAAAAACTATGTTGATTTTTCAGTTCCACCCTAGCCCTACTGAATTGGAATCTTTGAGGGTAGGGACCCAAAATTTGTATTTTTATTAATTTCTCTAACTAATCCTACTGTAATCAGTTTTCAGGCCAACATTTAAGAATAATTGCTTTAAACAGAAATCATCCCACAGCAACACTTTCTAAGTAAGATGCTCTGAAAACCACCGCAGTCCATATAGAAACAGGAGAGACTAAGAACACACTACCACAAAACACCATTACCTTGGATACACCAGTTGAAATGTTTGCCTGTAACTTGGGAAATAATTCCATTAAAGCCTCCTGGGAAAGTGGCCCTTTGCAGCCACACAAGGATAATCTCTGATAATAGAGATCAGCCAACAGCAACACAGATGGCTCCAGAGGAAACGTTCTGCAACGAGATGTTTATTAGACCCAAACTGCACCATATGCTCCAGAGTAACTAGACTATAGTATAAGCCACAGAACATGATCACAGATGAAAAAAATGTAAAAGATAATAGGCAAAAGTCTCATGTGAATATTTAGCTCACTTCATAGATGAAGAATCTGAGGCCTAGCAGTAATGACTGAGCAAGGGAACCCAGCTGGTTGCAGGCAGAGGTGGGAGTAGAATATGCTAGACTCCAATGTTGCCTCTTCAATCCACATAGTTGTAAATGACAGCCAGGTTAAATATATATCGAGTCTTTCTTAAAAAAATACATATGTATATATGTAATATTTACTAAGTGTTTGTCATGTGCCAGGCATCGAGCTAATGAGGAAAGCAGTAGAGAGGAGTGGTCTGACACACAGGCTCTGGGGTAGGGCAGCCCAGGGCTGAATCTAGCCCCATCACTCATCAGCAGTGTAACCTCAGGTAAGTTGCTTAACCTCTCCGTGCCATCCTTAGGCAACAAATGTTCACTGAGTACTACTATATGCTATTGACTTTTCTAGATACGGTAGATATAGCAGTTGACAAAAGACAAACTTCCTCTTCCCAGAACTTATATTCTAGTAGGGAAAAGTAGCCGACAAGTAAGTATTATGACAATGATGAGTGTCGTGGAGAAGAGTAAACCAGGGGAAAAAGGCTTGATAAAGGCTGGTGTGCAGGGGATTGTGGGGACACGGTATAGGGGTGAAGAGAAGCACCATTTGATACAGGGGTGCTCCTAAAAAGCAGAGACCAAAGGAAGTGAAAAAGTGAGCTAAAAGGGCATCTGAAAGAAAAGCATTCTAGGCAGAGGGAACTGCAATGCCAAGTCCCAGACTGAGGTGTGCTTGTCTGCAGGAACATCAAGGAGACCAGCTCAGCTGGAACTGAGCTAATGAAGAGTACCTGGAGATGTCAGAAGTAGCCAGGGGTTAGTTCAGACAGAGCCCCAAGGAACATGATGAGGACACTGGATTTTATATGGAGTAAGATGGGATACCTCTTGAGCAAGGTTTCTCTACAGCAGCACTACTGACATTTTGAGCCAGAGAACTCTTGTGGTGGAGGGCAGTGCTGCCCACTGCAGGTGGCTCAGCAGCATCCCTGGCCTCCACCCACCAGATGCTAGTAACAGTTTTCTTCCCCCCACTGTGACAGTCAGGAAGACTCCAGGGTTGCTTCCAGTTGAGAAGCGCAGTACCAGAGGGTAGTGAGCAAAGGAGTGGCACGATCTGTCCTACACTCAGAAGCAGCAGTGCAGGGGCGGAAGAAGGGAGACTCATTGGGAGTTCAGGCCAGGGCTTTCTTTGGAAACTTTAGTTCCTCCATCTATAATGATAACAGTACCTACACATCATGGAGTTGTTGTGAAGGTTAAATTAAACAATGCACATAATGTGCATATAATAAGGACACAATCAATGCAATTGTTTATTACTGTTATTGTATACATTATCCAACTTAAACTCCACAAGGAGGATTCCTATTCCTTCCTTTCCCTTTTCTTCACTTTCCCTTTTTGAGAGCTAATCAAGTTTAAACAGAATGATTTAAAAAGGGAGACAAGGTAATAGGGTAAATATGGTGATGTCAAAGAAGTAATCCTCTTTAAAGAAAGTTAATTTAAACCAATGCAGTTAACCATGGAGAAATGCCAACTTCACCCACATTTGGAAAGGCAAAGAGATTCCGGATTATTATAGCATTAAAGGAGACCTAACTCCCCTACAGTCTCATCTCAACACAGCAGCCAGAGTGATTCTGTTTAGGTCAAAGTCACTCCACTGTCAAACATCCTCCCAGGGCCTCCCCTTTCATTCAGAGTAAACGCCAAGGCCCTACGGTGACCTAAGGAGGTCTACTGCCTCCACCTCTATGTCCTCTTCTCCTACCACCCACTCTCGTGCTCTGCTCAGCCACAATGACCTCTCCTTGCTGCTCCGGCCAGGCACCCACCACCCCCACAGAGCGTTGGCACTCATGTCACCTCCAGGTCTGGAACCCAGGGAGCAGCCCAGGCCACAAGTATCCTCATGGCTTCCTTCCCTCACTGCTTTCTGGCTTCTGCTCAAGTATCTCTGCCTTGGTAAGGCCATCTCGATTTGAAACTGCTGCTTCCCCCTTACCTCTAGACTCTCCCTATCCCCTTGCTCTGCTTTGTTTTTCTTCACGGCACTTAACACCTCCTAACACCCTATATAGTTTACTTATTTATTCTGTGTAGTGCCTCTTCTGGCTGGAACATCAGTTACACGAAGGCAGGGAATTGTGTCTGTTTTACTCACTATGTTTCACAGTGCCTAGAATAGGGCTTGGTACGTGAGAAAGGCAAATGATTACTTACTGAATCAAGTGAATGAATAAATCTTTAAAATACTTGGAAATAAAATGGAGTAGACTCCAGAAAAAAAAGCAGCAAGGCTTGACTTTTAGAAAAGATACACTGTTAGCTCCCCACAAATGGCTCTGTGCTACTATCAAAATCAAAGGCTGGCTAAACTACAGCTGGGAATGATCAGCATTACGAACCCTTTAAACTTTACAACACCAGTCTACACACGCAATAACACATCCTTTACAAAGAAGAATCTGTATTTAAAGACTGTGTCAAAAATGTACTTATTTTAACTGGAGGATCTACAGCAATTTTAAATTTCACCATGTGAATGCAACTCAGGTACAAAATAAATCAAAGTAATTTTCACTGTGTCCAACATTTCACGAAAATAGAGGCTTTTATATTTTATTCATTACTAAGCCAAGTGGAAGATGTGTTTACTTACAATACTAAATTCTTCACACGTTCCACAGGAACCAAATGAAGAAGTTCAGAAGATTCTTCCAAACTTAGTAGAGTATTTACAGCTTGACAAAGAACAAAAAAATTTCCTAAGGGCAGAAAAACAGGAGAAACCACATTACTTATTTATTTGACATTATAACTATCAAACACCTTATTTGCCGAATACTTGCTACTTATTTGAAGTTCTTAAAGTGAGTTTCTGCCTTCCAAAGAATTATCTGTCAAACATTCGAATGTCACAGAAAGAAACAGAAAAGAGAAGTTTCCAAGTCCTATATTTTACCTTTCTTGAGAAAAATACAGGCTGGGCACAGTGGCTCATACCTGTAATCCCAGCACTTTTTGGGGCTGAGGTGGGAGGACCACTTGAGGCCAGAAGTTCAAGATGAGCTTGGGCCACATAGTAAGACCTCATCTCTATAAAAGATTACAAATTAGCTGGGTGTGGTGGTTCACACCTGTAGTCCCCGCTACTCAGAAGGTGGAGGTGGGAGGATTGCTTCAGCCTGAGAATAAAAATGTATGTATGTTCCATTAACCAAAATCAGGACCAAGTATAATGGTCCCATTCACTGGTGTTATCAAAACTAGGACTTCTCAGGAGTGCAGGCTTGGATTTATCAATAGCTAAGAAAGTATCTTGGTGTAAAACTTATGTTGATTTTATTTCTCAAGTTTATAAGAAGTCACATATCCAATGGCTACTACCCATAATATATTCAATTAATGATATTATTGTTATTATTATTATTATTGAGACAGAATCTTGCTCCATCGCTCAGGCTGGAGTGTAGTGGTGTGATCTCAGCTCACTGTAAACTTCGTTTCCCGGGTTCCAGCGATTCTCTTGCCTGAGCCTCCTAAGTAGCTGAGATTACAGGCATGTGCCACCATGCCCAGCTAATTTCTGTCTTTTTAGTAGACACGGGGTTTCACCATATTGGCCAGGCTGGTCTCAAAATCCTGACTTCAGGTGATCCACCACTTAGGCCTCCCATAGTCTTGGGATTACAGGCATGAGCCACCATACCCAGCCTTATTTTTTCAAGTAGAGAGCGGGGGTCTCACTATGTTTCCCAGGCTGGTCTTAAACTCCTGGCCTCAAGTGATCTTCCCACCTCAGTCTCCCAAAGTGCTGGGATTACAGGCCTGAGCCATGGTATCCATTTCATCTCTATCCCAGAGGTCGGCAAACTATGGTCCGCAAGTCAGATCTGGTAGGTGGCCTGTTTCTATATGGGCTGCAAGCTAAAAATGTTTTTTACATTTTGCAGGAGTTGTCTAAAAAATATATTTATGTATGTGTGCCACAAGGACTGAATGTAGCCCACAAGACCTAAAACGTTTACTAATTTGGTCCTTTACAAAAAGATTTCACCAGCCCCTGCTGCTCTAGGCTCTAGAACAGTGCTCCCCAATAGAACTTTCCACAATGGTAAAAGTACTTCTCCTAATATGTCGCCACAATGCAGTATGGTAGCCACCAGCCACATATGGCTACGGAGCACTTGAGAGGTGGCGAGTCCACTTTAATTCTCTAATATGCCTGCTTAATATCTAACACAGGACATAGCACATTAATATTAATATTTAAGTGAACGAATGCCTGCTATATACACGTGATTTAAAAAAAAATTCTGCATTAGAATAAAACAAAATATCAAATAATTGCTTTTAAACTGCTGTTTGCAGGCCAGTGAGGGAGACATATAAGTATCCAATAGGAAATGGTGTTTTGGGCACGGCAGTCTAATTCTGCCTGAACAGTCCTGAAGGCCTTCCTAGAGGTGTTGTGCCTGAGCTGAGTTTTGAAAGATAAGTAAGAGTTCACCGAATGGCAAAGACCTAGAAAGGCCTCCATGCAGAGGAAACATGTGGGCAAAGGCAGCCCTACAATTGTAAAAGAATGTCTTGCTCAGGGTAAGCAAATGGATTTGCTTGGAGCAGAAGGTGTAAAGTAGGGGTCAGATACATGTGGGAGCTGAGAAATAGGACCTGGTATGGGGCTCAAAAACAAATGGTCTTCTAACCATGGCATCCTTTTGATATGGCCCCTTCCTTATGCTCAAGTCACCGTGACCCAGTCACCACATTATGTGGTACAAGTGAGATATGCCCATCGTATCCTCATTTCTTCTGGATTTATCATCCAGGGGGTTAAGCCAGAACATAATGTAAATATTATTCTCCAATATCCCATGTGTTTACAATTACTTTGAGTGTGCCAGAAAAGAAGAGAAGAGAACAAATGATGACTGTAACTGACCTTTCCCAAAGTTCCCTTTGTCAACACTCACGAAGAGTGCCTCTATGAAGCAGGTGACGAGTGGTATCACCTTCTCTTTCTCAAGAGGTCTGTCCAAGAGAGAGAGAAAGGGAAAGTTCAAACTGGCATTCAATGGTTTTTTTCATAGGTCAGCAAGGAATGGCAAAACATATTTTAATCAGCACGTTATCTCTTTCAAAATTAAATAGCTTATTTTCTTACCTAATATGAGGTAACACCACAAGGGCTGCCCAAGATTGTGAGAGGTAAGCAGTATCTTTATTTGGAGGTAACTGAATTATAGATAAAAGATAGTCCAATACTGGAAACTGTTTCTTTCCGCCCTTGGATCGAGTCTTCCTCTGCTTTACATGGGATCTGAAGGATTAAAAAAAAACATGTTTAAAATAACAGAGAATGTCATCGCTCTTGCCCTCTGAAGCCTGAAATAAAATTGGGTTCTTAGCATTGTGGAGCACTAGTGGGAAGGAACTGGTGGTGGTGGCTGGGCTAAACAAATGTGAGTCATTTACTGAGTTTTCAGTGAGGGGCTTTTTCAACTCCACTGGCTCTACTTCCTTTCACTTCTTTTTAAATTTGCTTTATAACTTAAACCAAGTTTCTTCTCGTTTTAAGCATTATTTCTCAATTTTGTGCTGCTGGGCATGTTTTTGATTGGCAATTCACTGAAATGAACTGACTTCCCCCATTCGCCCTTTCCTTTTTGACATGAATTTTATTACTTTCCCCAAATGTACAATTATGTTGCAAAGTTACTGTGATGAAGCTGACAAATATCACTAAAATGATTATGACATATAAGACATTTCCTCCTGCTGCTTTGATCTGATACAGTTGCTCAATGACATTCTGTTTTGAATACCTGTGAGTCTGGCACTATTCTTGTCAGCCTTTTCTTTTTTTTAATTTTTGCCAGTGTACTATACCTCAGTCCCATTTGAAAGACAAAAATCTAATCAAAAGAAAAAAAATCACAGAAATAATAAGTTGAATGATTTGTTTTACAATTTATCCTCCAACTCCTGTTTGGTTAGCTTGTTATGCAACAGAAATGGAATATCAGGTTTTTACTCTTGTGCCCTTTTTATCATTAAAATTCACTAAAAAACAGTCAAGTAGGGTCAGGAAGAAAAACAAAAGAAAAAAAATTCACTAAAAAGCTACATTCTCTTTTGTTTCATACTTACCAGGATGTTTAGTGTTTGGAAATCATGATAGATAATCAAGTTAATTGAATAATCAATTCCTTAAAGCCACCACATCTTGATACATATAGTCTTTTTAGTAATAATCATGACTCAAAAATCTGCAAAAATCTTACAAACTACTGAGATGCTTTAAAAAACAAAAGTGAGTCATCAGTTGCCACGTCACTCCTGTTTTACCAGGCCTGCCATGGCTCCTCCAGTGAAGTCCACACTCCTTACTTCATCCTGTAGGGCTCTGTGATATGACTCTCGCCCACCTTCATCTCCTCTCATCTCACTCTCCTCCTTGCTCTTTACCCAGAGAGGTTTCTTTCTGTACTTCAAACATGCTGAGCTTATTCCTGTCCCAGAGCCTCTGCAGTTAACTTTTCCTTTTGCCTGGAAAGTCTCTCACTCAGATCTTTGCAAGGCTGGATCCTTATAACCTTAAAATCGGACCAAATGTTCCCTCTCTGGAAAGTAGTAGTGACCCCTCTCCATCCACTATCCCTCTCAACCACTTTGTCTTCTTTTATCATGATCTGAAATCATCTTGCTTATTTGCTTACCTGCCCCACCACATTCCTCTCCCCCAAAGAAGAAACCTTTTTCTTATACCTTGCTGCACCCCAGTGTCCAGTGGCTACCCTGTAAGTATATGTCAAATGACAATAAGTTTATCTCCTAAAGAGCCTTTTCACATTTATTACCTTTAGTGCTTGATACTCTTAAGTATTTGTCAAATGACAATAAATTTTCAAAAACTGTCATTTGTCAATGACTCAAAAATAAGTTTCAAAATATTACTCAAAAAATGACTCAAAAATAAGTTTCAAATTATTCAAAAATAACTTTCAAATAATCCAAAAATAAGTTTCAAAAACTTATTTCATTTGTCAAATAATAGTAAGTTTTCAAAAACTGTCATTTGTCAAATGACAGTAAGTTTAGCTCCTAAAGGGTCTTTTCAAATTTATTATCTTTATTTATTCTCACAACAAACTGGTGAGATGGGTGAATGGAATGTTACTAGTAACATTAAAACTATGATTTTTAAATCTTCATAGAAGGAATCAAGACAAAGGTGACCATTCACACATACCATACCTCTGTGGGGGGTGGCAGAGGGATATTTTTGCAGAGAAAGAAACACAGAAGTGGAGGTACTTGCCACAAATTAGCATGTCTAAATTTATTTATTTATTTTAACACACCACCTTTCTGGGAGCATCTGAGATAGGTGAGATGATGGGGTAATAAAGTCTGATACTCAGTCTCAGTCAGTCCCTTAGCATCACCTCATGGAAGCCAGACAATAAAGCAGCTTCACCCCACCTGCACAGAACACAGTTTTGGCATGTGCAAGGAATCTGCCTGTTGGAGACGGGCTTGGGTGTTGCCAAATCAAGAGAAAAGCTTCAAAGGAATGCCTCTATAGGAGGAGTTACTCACTAACCACTCCTCAGGAATCAGAATTCAATAAATTTAAAAACCAACAAGATTCTGCTGGCATGTTTTAAGAGAAGCAACTTTCAGGTAGACAGAAAATATAAGTAGGAGTTAAGAAGATGAGTTTGCTGGGCACTGTGGCTCAACCTGTAACCCCAACACTGTGCAAGGCCAAGGTAAGAGAATCGCTTGAATTCAGGAGTTTGAGAACAGCCTGGGTAACATAGTGAGACCTCGTCTCTATAAAAATTAGCAGGGCATGGTGGTGCATGGCTATGGGAGGCTCAGCTGAGAGGATAGCTTGGGCCCTGGAGGTCGAGGTTGCAGTGAGCCATGGTTGTGCCACTGCAATCCAGCTGGGCAACAGAGCAAGACCTGGTCTCAAAATAATAATAACGAAAAAAACTCTGAAAAAGAAAATAGGTTCCTCCAGAATCTCAAGCTGATCAAACTCAAAAGCTAGCTCTGCTATGTGACTGTGAGACAGGGCCAGGGATGTCCCACCTACAGGGATGCTTCAGGTCGAGTACTCAGCACAAACTCAAGGAATTTCCATCAATTCCGCCTCAAAGAAAACCACAAACGCAACAACAGGTCTAACTACTCCAAGAGAAATAAGAAGATTAAGCATAAAAACAAAGGAATGACAAGGAAACTTGTTTTCTAAGCCACAATTTCCAGACGCATACCCACTTAACTATTTGAGAAATGATAAGACGAATCTTCTCATGTATGTAAATAGCTTTGTTTTTAACTTCTAAAGGATATGCCATTTTGAATGAAATTAAGAAAGTAATCCATGACACTTAACAACTGAAACAATACAAAGGTATATAATTTAAGAATGAATAGTCACTTATTTTCTCTTCTTACCATCCTCCTGAAATAAAGTTAACAGTTTTGTGTATCCTTGGGGAGATGTCAATTCTCCCCAAATTGGTCAACAGCTTTAATGTAATTCCTAACAAAATCTCAGCAAGATTTTTTTTTGTAGATATTGACAAGCTCATTCTAAAATTTATGGAGAAAGGCAAAGGACCAGGAATAGCTAAAACAAATTTGAAAAAGAATAAACCAAGAGGACTTTTATTTTAAGAATTCAAGATTTCTTTTACATCAATAGTAATAAGACAGTGTGGTATTGAAAGAGGACAGACACACAGATCAATGGAACAAAATAGAGAACTCAGAAGTAGACCCACACATATACACCCTACTGATTTTTGACAGAAGTGCTAAAAGCAGTTCAACAAGAAAAAACAGCCTTTTTAGCAAATATTGCCACAGCAACTGGACATCTCTAGGTAAAAAAGGAAACTCAATCTAACCTCAAAACTTTACACAAAAATGAACTCAAAATGGATCATGGACTTAAATGTAAAACATAAAATGACAAAACTTTTACAAAAAAACAATAGGGGAAAATCTTTGGGATCCAAGGCTAGGCAGAGTTCTTAGACTTGACACCAGAGCATTATGTATGAAAGAAAAATTTACTAAATTGAATCTCATGGAAATTTAAAACTTTGCTCTGCAACAAAAATGTAAGGAATAAAGCAAGCTACCAGAAGAGGAGAAGATATTGCTAAATCACATTTCTGACAAAAGGATTTATATCTAAATCGAACAATAAAGAAACATGCCAGTTAGAAAATAGGCCAAAGAAATGAATGGATAGATATTCACTATAGAAGATACAGAGATGGCAAATGAGCACATGAAGAGATGCTTCGATATCATTAGCCATTGGGGAAATGCAAATTAAAACTACAGTGAGATACTACTACGTCCCGATCAGACTGGCAAAAATAGAAAATAGTGATAAATACCAAGAGCTGGTGATAATGCAGAGAAACTCGATCACTCATATATGTGTGGCAGGAATGTAAAATGGCACAGTCACTCTGAAAAACTGTTTGGCACTTCTCACAAAACTTAACATGTACTTATCACAGAACCCAACAATTTAATTTTGGGGCAATTATCTCAGAGAAATGAAAGCATGAATATTCATAGTAGCTTTATTCATAATAGCCCCAAACTAGAAATGACCTAAAATGACCTTCAACAAGTGAATTTTTAACAAACTATGCTATATCCAAACCAAAGAATGTTACAGTACTCAGCAATTGAAAGGAATGGGTTACTGATCAACACAACTTGGATGAGTCTCAAGGGACTTATGTGGAGTAAAAAAAGCAATCTCAAATGGTATACTGTATAATTCCACTTACATAATATTCTTGAACTGACAAAATTATACAAACAAATAACAGATTAGTGGGGGCCAGGGGCTAGGGATGGATGGAACAGAGAGAGGAAGGAGGAGTGTGGTTATTAAAAGGTAGCATGAGGAATACTCATGGTGAGGGAACAGTTCCGTATATTCACTCCGGTGGTGGTTATAATCAACACGTGATAAAACTGCATACAACTATATAACCATCTATGTATACACACTCAGTTGAGTGCACATACAACTGATGAAATCTGACTAAGATTGGTGGATTGCACCAATGTCAATTCTACACTTGTGATACTGCAATATGCTTATGCCAGATGCACTAATGCGGAAAATTGAGTGAAGAATATAGGAAAGCTCTCTGTACTATTTCTTGCAACTGCACGTGAATCTACAATAATTTTTAAATAAATGGTTAAAAAAAATTAATAGTCACCTCTTTCTTTCACTTACCATCCTTCTGAGGTAAACAAAGCTAACAGGTTTGGGTATCCTTCCATGTTTTTCTATGTTCATACACACTTTTTGCTTTACCTTGCAAAATGAGATCATACTATACATACTACGTGTGTAGCTCTATAACTTGCTTTCTTCACACAATTTATCATGGACATCTTTCCAGTTACATGTAGATCTTCATTTCTTTACGGTATTCTTGATATATTTAAATGGGTAATCTTATCATCATTACAGGAATAAAAACGTAGAACTTACCCCACCATCTGCGGTGAGAAAACCAGAGGGTACTTTTCAATTGCCATCGAGCCAGCAGTGGGAGGTGCTGCTTTGTTCAGAATGAGCTTGGCCAGAATGGCCAGAGCTTCGTCTTTGACAACAGTGTCATCAATTAAGAAGCAATTCACAATATATGAGAGAAAGCTTGGTAGAAAAAGCTAAATTTAAGAAAAGAAAATTTAAAAATCATACTTATTAACAGATATAATAAAGAGAAGGTTCTAACAATTCAAAAAACTAGACCAAAAACAAAGAATCAGGAATCACAATGGCATTAGACCTCTACATGGGAACAATGGAAGCCAAAGACTCTACAGCCACGTCTTAAAAACTGAGGATGGATGACTTAGAATCTAGAATTCTATAGCCTGCCTACTAATAATGCAGTGTGAGGAGATAATAAAGACATTTCAGATGTATTAAATCTCAATATTTTATCTCCATTAACCCTCCCACCTCCAGGAAATTATGAAAAATAAATTCCATCAAAATTAAAGACTAAACTATATAACAAGAGAAAAACACGGTACCCAGGAAACAAAAGAGAAGCAAAAGGAAGTCCCAATACAACATTTGTGCAGTGGGCAGAGAAAGCAATGCATTTAGACTGGACTTGCTCCAGGAGGAATGTCTCCAAGAAAGAAGAAAAGAAAAACTGAGCTGCTAAATTATCTGACAGTTTTGCCATGTGAAGGACATTTACGACGCTGCTGGAAGACAGACTCATTTGCCAGCTATTCAAAGAAAACAATTTCCAGTTTTTAAAGAATGAGGCAATTATAAACTCTAAGAAAAATGAGGCTGGGTGCAGTGGCTCATGCCTGTAATCCCAACAATTTGGGAGGCTGAGGCAGGAGGATCACCTGAGGTCAGGAGTTTGAGACCAGCCTGGCCAACATGGTGAAACCCTGTCTCTACTAAAGATATAAAAATTAGCCAGGCATGGTGGCACACGACTATAATCCCAGCTATCCAGAGGCCTGAAGCAGGAGAATCACTTGAACACAGTAGGCGGATGTTGCAGTGAGCAGAGATTGCACCAGTGCATCCCAGCCTGGGCAACAGAGCAAGACTCTGTCTCAACAAAGAAAAATGAAAAATGAGAAGGTATACAGAAAGGATATATAATCATGAAATACTCCTTATTTATATAAGTATGTAGTTAATATGGATTCAACCATATTCTTTTTTTTTTACAGTATTCTTTATACATTAAGAATCAAGAAGGTAAACCCTTAGAAGGTTTACTCAATGCTAAATTTGTGATATAATTCTACTGGCAGCATAAGAGATATAAAAGAACTAAAATGCATCTACCATGGGAGGAAGTCTACACGTGAAAACTAAAACTAGCAAACCAAGGTAAAACAGTACATTTGGATGATTTAAAAGCATAAAGTAAATACAAGAAAAAATAGCTACAAATCATTAAATGTGATGGCTGCTAATAAGATGGGAATGGAAAAAAATGACTGCCATTTAGCCTGGTTTGACTTCCTAAACTACATACAAATATGTAGTATTCAGGTAAAAATAGATTAATTAAAAAAAAAAACCAAACAAACAAAGGAAACGGGAGAAAGGAAAAAGCCAGTTGCTAAAAGAAACAGAATAAGCTAAAGAGTCTTTATGGAGCAGAAAGACACAGATCTAGTACACATGCAAAAGTGTGTAGGCAAATGAGAATATGTATTATTAAGGGCTTAAAGGCAGAATATTGAGAGGACAGTTACAGAGACACGTTTCCATGAAGTATACTGTAGGGCTACTAGTAAGGAGGAGGCACAACTATTTGATGGGGAGAAGGAGAAAGGAATAAAATAAATTCAGGATTAGATGAGAACTATATCTACCTCACTCAGTTACCCATTTTGGGGAAATGAAATCGATTTGCAAACTTCCACCACTGCGAATTGTTTCACAAACTACTTTCTATGCTTCAAATTCACAGAAAATTTCTTAAATTGTTTTTTCAATTTTACCACATGGTTCTGTAACTACCTGAAGTATTATTAAAAAAAAGAAAGTAATCTAGAATTGAATATAATTTATTTAAAAAATATATTGGCTAAAACATCAAACACTTATTCTGTTCCTCTAAAAAAAAAAAAAAAAAAAAAAGAAAGAAATAATGCAATTTCAAATTTGATCATTTTTTTGTGACAGGTTTGTTTTTAAAAATACTCCGAACTTGGTATCTTGCTTACCTGCTCAAACTGCTTCATAGCAAACATGACTTCAGAAAAACTGAAAATTAAGTGTTTTTCAAATTTGCTCTCAAATATCTGTGGACCAAGGTAAAAAAATATTAATGTAAGTACACAAAGAATACCTTCCCCATTCCCCTAGCAAGCAGCTATAGAAGGGAATGGCAGGCACACTTCACTCAGTGCTCTGTCCAAATGCCCAGCCATCTCCAAAGGTGCTTCCACAGATACAAAGGGTTTCTGCTGAATACACAGGGCTCTGCCTGAAGGCTTGTCAACTCTTGGCCAGCTACAGTGAATTATGAAAGGGCAGACAGTATGACTGTATATATTCTCTCATGGTGTACTGCTGTACTCCATTAAGCTAGAAAGAACTTAGCTGACCTTCCTATTTTCACTCCCGCTTCCAAATTCACTAACATCTCATCAAATCATATCCCTGCCTGGAATTCTTTCAGGGTCCTCCACTATCTGCAAGATAAAACCCAACCTGACTTTTCAAAGCCAAGCAGAGTTTTGCTGATATCATAGGACACTCCCTCATGTGTCCATGTGCCTAGACTACAACATTTATGAACACGTCTTTCCTGTTCCCTCTCCTAGTGTTTTTAACCCCACTTCTGACTGGCAGACTGCTTTTCAACCTTCAAGGACTATCCCAAATACAAGTCCTTTGAAAACCTTTCTCTGTTCCTCAACCCCAGACAGAATTAATAGTTATAATTCAACATATCTTCACTAGACACATTCATAGACTATAACTACTCAGTTCCAGGCTCTATTTCTCCAACAACTGTCAAAACCTACAGGCATCAGTGTTCATCCTGGAATACCCAGCACACAGTAAGTGCTACATATTTGCAGAACATGCAAAGATTTAGCTTTTGCCACACTTTATTTTGCTTATTTGCTATATAAATGTAGCTTTAATCACACTTTATTTTGCTTATTTACATTACTACATGCAATTCCCATCTCCTTAACAGCACTGTAAATTCCTTGAGGGCAGAGCCTTTGCCACACTTCACTCTATCACTCAGAAGGTTTTCACTCTATCACTCAGAAGTTTTAATATTTGTTGAAGTAAATTACTTTTTCTATGGTTTCTTTGATGAGGGTCTCTGGCAAGGAAACATTTTCACCTAGGATCAAAGCAGAAATTACATCCAAGAGGGTCTCCCAGCAAGACGTGGAGAGGCTGACTACTTGCAGTGTTTGAGATAAAACCTGCAAAAAGAAAAAACAATGCATTCTCAGCAATCAGCTTTTCAAAAACAGACTCTCGCGCATATTAAGTTGGGAACTCACCTTACAGACATCAGCAGGTGTGGTTATCTTTGTTCCACTTCCATGTTTTACAAGTATAAGGTATGTTTCCAACAACCTTTTAATCTGTTCAGAACTTTCACAACAGTTAGTTTTTGTTACTTTTGTATGTAGGTCCAATAGCGATTCCTGCAAACAAAGAATTTAACAGGGAGAATAACTATAAAATATCAAACCTAACTGTTAATCCAGTAATGAAAACTGTGTGACATTCTTTTGCTTTGGAATAAAAAGATACATTTACCAGGAGTCACTAATGGTAACAGCTAACACTGAGTGCCTTGTTCTAAGTTCTTTACAAGTATTCACTCAGCATCCTCACAGCAACCCAGAGGGAGAGAATATTAGTACCCCCATGTATTAGATGAAGAGACTGAGGAATCGAGATTTCAAGTAATTTTCAAAGTCACACTAGCAGTCAGTGGAAAAGCCAAGACTCAAATAGGCAGTCTGGCTCCAGAGCCTTCTACTGCATCTTAAGATGCCATATCAAATAAAAAAATAGCACAGGGGGTGGAGGGAAGGAAAATTTTAATTTGTGTATAGAAGTATAAATAAAACAATTATAAAATGCAACTTCTAGGAGTGCTTTGCAAAACTAAGAGCAGCAACAGTAAATTCTTAGACAACTTATCAAAATCCAATCCTTAAAAATTAGAACTCACTTGCAAACATTCAAAAAATGTACCAAAATGTTCCTTGGAGATGTAGGATACAGTGGATTTGACCATGTTTTTGAGTGTTTCTCCAATTAAAATCCACGGTAGTTGAGTTTCGGTTTCAGTGACAGGTCCTAGCTTTTGCAAAATTAGCTTCACTGCCTGTGGAAATACAAGTGGTTAACATTAATACATAAACTCTTATTTTCAAGCACCGCTCTGGGAGTCACCACTCTGATTACATTAGCTACCTTAAAAATCAGGTCTGGAATAGTCAAAGATATGACAACTTTGATGGTTAATGTGTCCCAAAAGGAACTTCTGAACTAGGATGGGAATTTTATCATAACAACTATTCCCTCCCCACCTACCCTTGCCCATTAATACATTTATCTTTTCCCCTAGCATCTAAGATGAAGAAGACAACAATGACTCTGTGAGTAGTATCTCACTGTCCAAGGCCTACATTGGATAAACATTTTTACTGAATACCCAATGCTCCCCATCTAGTGCTATCTACTAGGCTGTCCTCTCTCCATATCATTTGCCTCATTCTTTTCTACTTTCTGTTTAATCTATCCACACAAACTCTAAGCATCCCACCCCTTGTGTACCTGGCCTGTACAGGAATGAAACATATTTCTAACTCCTTTGCACATTTCAAAGAGCAACTGTCCAACACCTTCGACTTTTTCTGGGTGTTTATCAAGATCAAGAAACATTAAATTGAAAAGTGCATTTTTATCCGAGACCTAAAATGTAAAGTAGAAATGGAAAATTATATTCACAAACATAAACATATCCAAATGAAGAACTCTTATTTGCTATTCTACATATTCTTATTTAAATATACTTAGGAAAAAATTGTGAAAGGGTCAGATATTTGTAATGATTTCAAACTACTAAAATAGTGTATTCTCACTTGGAATGTCACATAAAAGAGTGAATTCATTGGTATTATATAGGAAGGTATGTACTACAAAAAAACTATAGAAGTCAACATTTTATCTTTTCAAGTAAATAAATTTGTATTTTGTATTGTATACAGTAAAATATTTGTATTTTATGAAATAAAAGAAATTTAGTATCAGTGTTTTTGTTTCATTACAAAAACTCTCTAAAATTTACTATGATAGTTTTATACAAACACAAATGACACTGTGCTACCAGTTACTTCCAGGAAACTATTAGAAAAATTCTTATTAATGTCACAGTTCATATATTTACTGACTCGAATTAGAGGGTATTTTTGAGACACACACTGAAAGCTACCACAAATCTAAATAACAATAGTGACCCAAATTAGATCATATCAATTTATGAACAACAAATAAAGCTTACTGTGAGATTAATTCAAAATAGTAACAGATTTCTGTTAAGTATACAGATAGATATGTACATAAAATTAGTCCATAATAACCACATTTTAAAAAGATATCTACTTCTATTCATCGGATTATTATTATTGTGTGTCTGTGTCTGTGTGTGCGTGCGTGCGTGCATGTGTGTGTGTGTGAGATGGAATCTCGCTCTGTCACACAGGCTAAAGTGCAGTAGTGTGGTCTCAGCTTACTGCAACTTCCACCCTTTAGGCTCAAGCAATTCTCATGTCTCAGCCTTCAGAGCTGGAGTACAGGTGCACGCCACCACGCCTGGCTAATTTTTGTATTTTTAGTAGAGATGGGGTTTTGCCATGTTGGTCAGGCTGGTCTTGAACTCCTGACCTCATGTGATCTGCCCACCTCATCTTCCCAAAGTGTTGGGATTATAGCCATGAGCCACTGCGTCTGGCCTATTCATCAGATTCTTGATGATTAACTAGCGGCAAACACATAAAAGATCAGACTAACCTTTCTCATCAAAAAAGTAAAACTTTCAGCAGCAAAATTTCTTATATGTAGTTTTTTATGAGCCAGGAGTGTGCTGTACATGCTATACATGAAAAAAAGATATATTTAATTAATCATATGTTAATAAATACATACTACATGTCAACAATATGGGCAACAATGTGCTAGGTATGCAAGGAATACACAGCAGGCATCAAACAAATTTAAAATCTCATTCATTTATGGACACACCCACATGTTGAAAAGAAGACTTGAGGACCACAGACATTAGGAGTCCTAGGACTGGGGGTACTGGTTTTGCAAACAAGACTCCATGAAAAGTTGAACGTTGTAATGAGCTCTAAATGACTGAAAAATTAGGTGGGGACTGCAGTCCACATTATTAGTATAAAAGCGAGAGCAAAGATGAGGCAGCTGGAAATGATCATGGTCATGAGACAAGGAGGCTGGTCCATCTAAAAGAGGAAAGATGATATAGCGGAGGAGGGCAGCTGTGGATAAGGCGGCTCAGGTAGACAGGTCTAGCTTACATCTATGTAAGCACTTACTCTGTGTTACTCCATTTAATCAGCACAATAACTCTATGGGACGGGTACTATTATAATCCCCATTCTACAGATAATGAAAGTGAAACAGAAAGCATAAGCAACCTTCTCAAGGTCAAGCAGCCATGCATCTATAACTAAATACTTTACTTGTACATAATCACATTGTTAAATTTGGTCTCCCTAATGATAGAAGCGTATCGAATATATCTCCCCTATTTTTGCCATAACCCCAGTACCTAATAGTTCTTTACTGATAGCAGGTGCTAATAAACGTTGGCTGAATGAGAAACGACTATTTTCAGAAAGATTAACTTGGCAGCAATACACAGGATAAAATAAAGGAGGAAAGAAGAGTCTCGTAATTCAATTAGAAAGCTGCTCAAGTCATACGAGCTTGGGTTAACAGGCATGAAGAGACTACGAGAGGGAAAGGGCAAGGGATGAACCCAAGAGACACTCAGGAATCCCTGCAATGAAGCTGAAGACCTTAACAGCGGTCCATAGGGCCCATGACGATCTGACCCCTTATTACTGCTTCTCTTGCATCACTTAGTTACTCTCACCCTTACACAAGCTGTTCGGCCACCCACGACTTCTTGCTGGGCATGCGCCCAAGATGTTCTCTTCCTGCTAAAACGTAAACTTTGTGAGAAGAGGGGATTTTTATCTGTTTTATCTGTGACTATATCTCAAGTGCCTGACATACGGACAGTGTCCAATAAACATTCACTGAGCAAATGCGTGAATGGCAGAATCAAGAGGATTTGGAGACCTCTGAAGACAACTGGGTCAAAGATACCTCCGATATGCCAAAATTCAGAGACAGGAAGAATGTCAGTACTAATGATAGAAAATGGGTAACCAAACAGGGCCTGGTATTTGGCAGATACTCAATACCTATTAACTGAACACATGAATGAATATACAGGTAAGAAGAGTTGGTTTAACAGTAAAGTGTTGAGTTCAGTTTCACTAATACTCAAGTGAAAGTAGCCAGGCTGCTGAAGTTTTCATACTGAAAGCAAATAAATTTAGAACTGGAGAGCCTGACTTAGGAGACATAAAAGTGGCAGCTTTTTGACAGTGGAAGTCATAAAACTAAATCAACTATTCCCCGAAGACCTTGCTGGCTATTTAATGAAATAATACTGGTTTCTAACATATTTTACCAAAAGTGTCATAGGGAACTTTAAAAAGCTAGAAAAGATTTCTTTATCTTTCTTCATTCAAAGTTCCTAAAAGAGAAGGGTGGGCTGGGTGAAAGGGGTGCATAAAACAAATTCAACTCTCCCATAACACACACACCATTTACTGGGGGATAGGGGATTATGATTGATATTAAACATTCCTGTGGCAATGATAGAACATGGGAACCATCAGAAGACCAAGTGGAAAATCTCATCAAATCCCAGACTTAAGCAGACAACAGACAATCTTTGCTATGAAATTCATTCTCTTTCCTTGTCCACATTTACTCACAAATACTGAGTGTCTCTTTCAGCTTAGTAAATACCAGTGGCTAGGGAAATGCCAATGTTTAAAACAGCGTTCTTAACCTGTCTTAAACCTCCCTCAAACGTGTTCACATGTTCACAGGTGTAGAGAGGACAGCAATACATTATAACTAAACAAGTCCAGCAAAAGTTTTGGGACATAAGTGGTTAAAAATGCCAAGAGGATCGAGAGTACAAAGTTTTATTAATACTTCTGGTGAACATGCCTGTTCGTGGAGGCTGTGGAGCCCAAGTCAGGCCTTCATGGGTGGGTCAACTTTCAGTAGCTGGAGAAGAGAGATGGTTATGGCAACTTAAGACTGGCAGACTAGACTGTGGAGCACTGTGGCTGGAGAATCAACTTTGTACACGGACACAATCAGGCACTGAGCTGGCAAAGCGGTTTGGGGTCAGACAGAAGCCAGGAAAAAAGAAGCAGGCAACTAAGAAAACATGCTAGAGAGAGAAGCGGGTCACCTGTATATACTGGACATGTCCTTCACCATCAGTCTCCACAGGTACTTGTAAAGATATGACAATGAGGTGAAAGCCCATTCTAACAACTCTGTGTCCTGAGTCTCCAGGATTGAGGTGATAGTCAAAAAAAACTCTGGGAAGTGTGGGTAGAAGTCCGTCTGCAGATCTCGTGCCAACTGTACAACCAAACTGGATTAAAAAAAGAAGCAACTGATTATGCTGATTTTGTTAAAAGGCTGCAAATCTACTTAACGATAGTAAGTGGCCTATGATCATAGGATTAATTAAATAAAAATACTTCTAAGTCAAGTCTGAAAATATATACAATTCTTTAAATCTTAAGAGCTCAGCAAAGCAATCAGGCAAGCAGTTACATTCCATCACAAGTTGTAGCCAACTGTTCCTACAGTGTCAAAGAAAAATAGGATTATTTTAGGAGTATGCAACAAATGCAAAATTATACCGCTAAGATTCTGCTTTATGGTAATGCACCTATTCCTAACAGAAAAGGAAAATCCTTCTTGTTTCTAAATTATGAACACCTGATCTGAGGCATATGTAGCTTTGAAACACGGTCTTTCTTAAAATTCAGACAAATATAGTTATGGGCTTTCTTTCAAGATGCTACTTACTCCAAAAGAGGTTGATAGGCAAAACTGTTCTTAACTTGCAGGTGAGTCTTCAAACTCTGAACTATCTCATTTTGATGATAGACCAACTGATTGAATGATTGGCATTTGTCAATAACTTCTTTGTAAAATTTCCCTGAGTGGGAGAAAAAAAAAATATATGTTCTTTTCCATCACACCACTATTCAGCTATATGAAACATATAAAGTGCAAACTACGGGTGAATAAAATAGAAACAAAATAGAAAATACCAAAGTGTTCCGTGAGGTTTAATTCTCTCCATTTCAGCAGACCCTCAAAAAAGTAGGTTTCAACCTCCTGTCAAGATTAAAGCAGTCCATTAATCAGATAACTCTAAGAAAGCAATGATCAAAGTAAATAGAATGATATATTAATATTTTAAGACAATGATAGTGAAGAGTTTAAAAACTCCCTTCAGTTTTTTAAAATAGGCCATTAATTAACACACTGAAAAAAGTAATCAGAAGTTATCAATAGATCACTTATAAAACGTTTTGTTGATTTGGTTGCAGCAAATAATTTTCTGGAGTCTATATATACTGTCCACTAAGAGAAAATTGTTTTCCTTTTTTTTGTTTTGTTTTGTTTTTTTTTTTTTTTTTACAATTTTAGGCAAAGATTGTGTTAGTTCTTTACAGTTCCTTCTTTCTGCTTTTAGAAATATGAATTACTACAACTTATGAGGAGGTCATGTGGCATTCCTATTAAAATTCAAAACAGTTATGCTCTTTGACCCAGGTATTATAAAGTTTGCAAGCATGTAAGTAAAAGGTATTTATTCAGCTTAACTACAGTGTGGGGAAACATTAAACAGCATAAAATGCCCAACAATAGGAAAATGGTTGGAATACCTTGTGGTCTATATATACCAAGGCATATTACGTGGCTACTAAAAAGAATTATATCTCCATTGAACTAGAACCACACTGATGACATGCCCCCAAACAGATAAAAAGCAAGTTATATAGTGAAGGGGTATGGTAGCATCCAATTTTCCTTAAAAAACCAAACAAAACAATAAAACCCCCCATAAATGTTTGTACATACGAACATAAGAGGACAATATGGAAAAATACAACTGTACTGAACTGTCAGTGTTGGCTTTCTTGGGAATTAGGCGTGGCAGGAGTGAGATAATGGGCTTTTCCTAAGTTTACCACTATGTTACTTAACTTGTTAACATGGTATAAATTACTTTGTACTTTGAAAGGTAAGGCCAATAAATTATTATCATACATGTATATACATGTATGTTTGTGTGTGATGTGTATGTATAAATAAATGCATGCCCCTCCACAAAAATCAATCATTCTACCAAAAAGATACATGTACTCATATGTTCATCCCTGCACTATCCACAATAGCGAAGATGTGGAGTTGGCCTAGGTGCCCATCAACAGTAGATTGGATAAAGAAAGTATAGTACATGGAATAGTGTATGCCATAAAAAAGAATGAAATCATGTCCTTTGCAGCAACATGGATACAGCTGGAGGCGATAATACTAAGCACATTAATGTAGGAACAGAAAACCAAATACTGCATGTATTCACTTATAAGTGGGAACTGAATACTGAGTACACATAGACATAAATATAAGAACAATAGACACTGTGGATTACTAGAGGGTGGAGGAAGTGGGGATGGGTTTAAAAAAAAACTACCTGTTGGGTATTATGCTCACTACCTGGGTGACAAGATCCATACTCCAAACCTCAGTATCACACAATATTCTCATTTAACAAACCTGCACATGTACCCCCTGTATCTAAAGTAAAAGTTGAAATAAAAATAAAAATAAATACAAATATGTGTGTTTATAAAGAGAGAATAAACACATAAGCACCCACGCAAACAGCATGCCAAAACTACAATCTCAAAAAAAATAAAATAAAATCTTTAAATTGTTCTTTGGAAATTTTTAAAATCAATAGTTAGGCAGAATGGATACTATGTAATCACAAAAATTAAAAACTAAAAATTAAAAAAAAAAAAGGAAGAAAAGAAAGAGCAGCCCATTAAATTTTGTTTTAGGATGGGGATGATGGCTCATGCCTGTAATCCCAACACTGGGAGGCTAAAGCAAGAAGAGCACTTGAGCCCAGGAGTTTGAGACTAGCCTAGGCAACAACACGAGATCCTATCTCTATTTTTCAAAAGCAAAAATATTAAATTTTTTTGTTTTAGTGTCCTTTAAGGCAGAAGGAAAATATGCAACACAGTTTTAAAGCTTAAATGCAAAACACATTTCTAGTCTAGCACAGGAATGGCACGTGTCAGCTACGTGTCAGAGACCATGTCTCGTCCTTTCACAATGTAACTCTGGAGCTCCTTTCACCAAGAGATGGAGTCTATTTCCTCACGGTGCTTTGAATCTGGTCTGGTCTCCTCACTTGCTTTGACTAATAACATACAATGACCCCATGATGACCAAAGCAAAACTTTATGAGGCCTTGATAGCTTCTGCTTTCACTCTGTTGAAAAGATTCTGCCACCACAAAAAGAAGCCTAGTCTAGCTTATCGGGGAATAAGAGGCCACAAACAGAACCAAGATCAACAAGTCACAGCCAACTGCCAGACACGTGACTGAAGCCATTCTGGACCATCCTCCACGTTTCTAAATCCAGGCTGTCTTCTCTGCCACCTTAACGTTCTACCCCTTGATACCTTCGACCTCTACTGTGGCTTAAACTATTAACCATATTCTAAATGCCAAATCTGTAATTTCACCTCTGAAGTCACCTATACTCCAGATCCATATATTCAAACATCTTTTGGACACTATCATTTGGATGGCCATAGGTATTTCAAACACAAGCTCCAAACAGAACTAATTATCTTACCTTTACAACCTTGTCCTCCTTTTCCTATAAATCTATCTTGATGAGTGACATCCTCAACAATTCAGCCTTAACCTCATTCTCTTCTTTGATACAAATCCAGTAGGTCTCAAGTCCTATCCACTCATTCTACTTCCTCAATATTTCTGGAATCCTTCTCTTTTCTATACCTTGACTGCCGCTACAATAATCATTTCTTTTTTTTTTTATTTTTTTTTGAGACAGAGTTTCACTCACGTTACCCAGGCTGGAGTGCAATGGCGCGATCTCGGCTCACCGCAACCTCCACCTCCTGGGTTCAGGCAATTCTCCTGCCTCAGCCTCCTGAGTAGCTGGGATTACAGGCACGCACCACCATGCCCAGCTAATTTTTTGTATTTTTAGTAGAGACGGGGTTTCACCATGTTGACCAGGATGGTCTCGATCTCTTGACCTCGTGATCCACCCGCCTCGGCCTCCCAAAGTGCTGGGATTACAGGCTTGAGCCACCGCGCCCGGCCAATCATTTCTTACTTAGATGACAGTCAAATCCTCAGAAATGGACAACTGAGATTGGATCTCCAAGTTAAAGGCATGTTACGCAGGACCTTAAAAGGCTAGCAGAGGAATAATGACATGATGCAGGACTGCGGTCCTGCTCTTTTCTCCACACTAAACCCAGAGAGATCGAAAACTTAAACCTGATCATGTCATTCATTCCCTGCTAACAGCCCTAGAATTCTAAGTCCCCCAGCTTCAGGATAAAATCCCAACTTAGCTTGACATAAAAGCCCTTTATGATCCTTGCGTACCTCTCCAGCTTTATGTCACCAGCTGCCCCCTTGCCCTATCCCAATCACCACAGATACAAAAAAAAAACCACCATATATACACCTATAACCACACTGGGCTGCTTTGCAGTTTCTTGAATGTGTCATGCATTCTCTAGCTTCTCTTCCTTTATATAGGCTCCTCCCTCAGCATGGAACAGCCTTTCCTGTCCTCTTTACCATGCTAAACCTATATAAACAAGACTTAATTCAGGTGTCACCTCACCTAGGTCACCTTTTTTGATACCCTTAAAGAATGTAGGTTAGGCTTCCTTTACTAGGAGTTCCCAAAGCATCATGTGCTCACCTAGACAAACATCATTTAACAGTGAATTTCCATGGTGGAGATAATGCATTCAAAGACACAGTGAGTGGAGTCTGATTATAGTCAAGTGAAGAATAGTAAGAACTGAGATTGGATCTCCAAGGTAAAGGCATGTTACACAGGACTTTAAAAGGCTAGGATGATGCACAAAAAGATTTCTGCATAAAGGGATGACAGAGTCAGAGTATGGTTAGAACCGGAAAATATTACGTAGTCTAGCCCCTTTATTTTTATAAAGGTGAAAATTAAGCCCCAGGAAAAGGACTTGCTCAAAATCATTTTAAAATTATAGCTTCAGGAATATGCAAGCGCTGCAGCAGTGCTTGGAATGCATATGGGAAAGGGGGAGGCTACAATCACGAAAGCCAGTAGAAAATCAAGTCAGTTTTCTAATAGAGCTTCACCCAACAAAGCTTTCTGCAAAAATGAAAATGCTCCAATTCTTTATTTGTTAAATATGGTAGTAACAAGCCACATTTGAGCACTCAAATTTTTAATTTACTTTTTTTTTGAGACAGAGTCTCACCCTGTTGCCCAGGCTGAATTGCAATGGCATGATCTCGGCTCACCGCAACCTCCACCTCCCAGGTTCAAACGATTCTCCTGCCTCAGCCTTCTGAGTAGCTGGGATTACAGGCACCCGCCACCACAGCCAGCTAATTTTTGTATTTTTAGTAGAGATGGGGTTTCACCATGTTGGCCAGGCTGGTCTCAAACTCCTGACCTCATGATCCACCTGCTTCAGCCTCCCAAAGTGCTGGGATTACAGGCGTGAGCCACCTCGCCCGGCCTTTTATTTACTTTAAATACAATTTGCCATGTGTGGCTGCTGTATGAGACGGCACAGGTCTAATGCATTTCATGTCCAAAGGGAAATAGCCTGAACAACAATTCACTTCTACTAACAGGAAAAACTAAAACACCGACTATAAACACTTTAAAATTGGCTAGTATCGCATTATCTTACCTCCTCATAGCTTGCAATTCTATCAATCCGATGAATAATATCAATATTCACATTCCCCAGTCGTTCAGCAAATGTAAGAAACTGGAAGGGAAAGCATATTTAAGGTACATCATCAATTTAATATTTATCAGATCTTGAATACCTATTTGAATGCTGTATGCAGGTATCACTAATGAATCACAAAGGGCAAGTGGAAAAATAAACTGAAAAACATAGGGCTGTAAATATGTACTGCATCACTATTCAGAGATGATGAATACTTCTATATGTTTGCATAATTTCTCTAAGCTATGTCATTTCAAATAAAATTTCCAATGCCAGGGCTCGTGAGCGTAGGTAAACGCTGGCAATTAGTCTCGCTAGATTTATTAGATTTCATAGCTTCCCACAAGCATGGGGACCTAGCAAATTCGCTGCGACAGAAGTGTTTTTAAACACATATAGACCTGTGATTGTATCCTAACGAAGACCTGGAAACAAGCTATCAAGGGGCAAGTAGAGACAGCACTGTATAGTTGGCCTTAGCTGAGAATCACTCACCGCCAGCCGGCTCGCCCAATCCCGTCTTTAAAGAAGAAAGATAAGAGGAGAATCGGTCTTAAGCAATCTCCTGGGATACTGAATTTAATTCTGGACTGCAAGAAATTCCCAAGACTGGCCAGACCCGATAAACCATGGGCGAACCTTGCTGTCCAGACTTCTTTCCTCCCCCAACCCATGTTTACTACATCTAGAGTCTCCTTTCGCCGGAGCCTGCAGGCAAGTGACACACTCGGCCCAGAAGTCTGAGGCCCCTGGAGTCCCGCTCAGAGCCTGTCTCACGACTGAGGCAGCGGAGACCCGCGGCTCCCTGCTCAAGCTCCCGCGCTCACCCGGTAGGTGTTCTCGGTCTTGTGGGAAACCGGCTTTGTCTTCATGGCTGCAGAGGAGCAGCGGCCCGCGACGCCCTCGGGAGGGTCTAAGAAATGTAACCGACAGTAAGGAGGGGAAAGTGGCTAACAAGAGGTACTCTTCGATTCCCAGATGCCCAGACTTTCTCACGTGCAGCTTAAGTCCCTGGGCGCCGCCATGTTAGAGACAAGGAAGAGCCTGAGTGGGTCACGTGGACGGAAAAAGAGCACGGAGCAGGCGCGTCCTTTCGCCGGGGCCTACGGGAGGCGCGGCAGCGCACTTAGGGCGGGTGCTTGGGTGAGGCGTGGTTTTCACTCCCTTTGGTAAAGATTTAAAAGACAAGCGTGTATTTTCATTATAAAATAAAACGTGCCGGTCATCGTTATCAGCTAACATTACTGTCCCTCACTATGTACCTTGCACCGTGCGAAGATCTTTCTATCCATAATTTCACGGTAAAGTTTATTGGGGATGTTAAATACAAAGAAGGTACTGTGTGTATTTTTAAGCCACTTTGACACAAGGGGAAACCAAGGTAGTGCAGCTGGTAAGTGGCAGTCTTCACTCAGACTCCAAATTTTGGTATTCTTAACCACTAAGCGGTAAATAAAATTGAAAAATAGAAAAGGAGTTTTAAAGAAAAATCTTTTCATTTTCATGCACAATCACTGTAATGTTTCGGTGTTTTTCCCACCACTTTAAAGTCTATGCATAACATGTTGTTAAGCATAATTGTACAGTTTTTTATGTATACACAATTTTTAAAAAGAATTTTAAAATATAATTATTTCCTCCACTTTACATTCATTCATTCATTCCTTCAACAACTATTTCTTGAGAGTCCTCTGTGGGCCAGGTACCATCTGGGAGCCGAATGAGAAAGGCAATAATAATAATTATTGGAAAATATTCACAGCATCCAATTCCTGGGCTAAAGTGAGCCTCCCACCTCAGCCTCCCAGGTAGCTAGGACTATAGGCATGCACCACCACACCCAGCTGTTTTATTGTTATTATTATCTGTAGAGATGGAGTCTTGCTGCATTGCCCAGGCTGGTATCAAACTTCTGGACTCAAGCAGTCCTCCTGCCTTGGCCTCCCAAAGTGCCGTGATTACAGGGGTGAGCCACCATGCCCAGACTGGAAATACTTAGTCTGAGATGCTTGCATTTTAGTCAAGGAGAGATCCTAAGTAGACAATTGGGTACATTGTTGTACAGAGCTGGCTGTAGCAGTCAGGGCTACAGATGTGACCTAAGTACACCTAAATACCTCAAGTGTGAGGTATTTGTGACTAGGAAAGAGAGCCAGTAAGGTAAAAACAGACTAGTTATGGCATGGAAGCAGAACTGACGGCCAGCTGTACTGCTAATTCAAGGATAGAGAAGCGGTTGCTGGATCTGACAAGGTGAAGGTCACTGATGACCTTGGTAAGTACAGTCTAGTTGGAAGAAAGGAATCAAAATATGCATGGATTGAGGAGGTAATCAGAGTTGAGAAAGTGGTCATAAAGAACACTTTCAAATTGTTATTGGCATTACAGTATCAACACTTTCTGTGTCATCCCAGGGCTGTTGTAAATATTTTAATGCCTCCGTAGAGTTTATAGATTTTTTTTATAATAAAAGTATTGACATGCCTAATGTTCTGTTGGCTTTCAGTAGGCTAATAACTGGTCTTTTCTTTTTCCTTAAGATTTTAATGGGTCACAGGTTCCTCAGGGAAATCTAAGAAAGCTGTAAAACTTCTCCCAGAAAGATGCAAAGAAGCTCATCTCAACTAAAACATGCAGATTTCAGAGAAGGCTGCAGTTAACTGAGGGTAGAAGCCCCCACTTGAAGTAAGATTTTCCCAATGTGTTGCCAAAATCCCCCCCACATCATTGTACCATTTTCCTTCTCTGCAATTTATTTTTAGTAATAGAGTTAACTGGGCAATAAAAGGTGAAGAGAAAAATCAAAGAAACTAGAAGAACTGACACAAATTATATTGACCATTTATTGTTTGTGTTGTTCTTCATTACATGATCCTCATACATTGGCTTGACGCTAACTGCCTTAGCAATATGTCAGTAGAACATGGTGGTTGAGAGCATAGATGCTGGAACCAGATAGTCTGGAGTTAATCTTGGTTCTACCATTTATTAGTTGGGTAAATTACCCTTTCAGAGTGACATTTCCGTATATGTAAATGAAGCTAATAAAAGTACCTACCTCATGGTTGGTGGTTATGCAGAGTAAATAAGCTGATGGATAAAAGATGCTTAGAATGTGCCAGGCACCGTAACTGCGCAACCCCAGAAGTCACCTAACCTTTCTGAGACCCAATTTCCTCATCTGTAAAGTGGAATTAATAATAATACCAATCTCTCAAGGTATTGTGTTGGTGCATAGAGCATGAAATAAATGTTTGCTAAGTGGATAAATAAATGACTATTTATTCTTTACTCTCTGGCTACCTGACAAGTTCCTTAAAGTCAGACATACCTTATACTTTTCCAACTTTGCATCACCAGCGGCTCCCTTGAACTTGAGTTGTTTAATGAATGTCTGTTGAATTAACAAAGCTTATAATACTTAATTTGATCCTGACTAATTTAAGAGTAATATAATTCTGGCGTTGGATGTGAATTGCACCATATGATTTTGGATCTCTCTCAAAACCAAGTTTCTAAGCTATAATGGAATATCTAAAGCATCCATGAAGAGCATGAGTATTTCTTATAAATGTCTCCTTGCCTCCAGCTTTTGTCCTCTGTCAAGGCTTTTGAATACCCTGTACCATCCTTTATTTCCTTTTTACATTAGGACTCTGCCTGTCCCATCTATTCCATCCAGGAAATTATATGCATAATTTTTTCATTCTTTTCTTCTTAAACTTTATAGGGAGCTCCTGGAAGTTTTGCTTTGTCATTTTTGTTTCCTTATTGCTGAGTATGCTGCAATTTCAAGCCAAGAGACTTTAAGAGCATGTGAGAGCCAGGCTCAGTGGCTCATGCCTGTAACCCCAGAACTTTGGGAGGTCGAGGTGAGAGGATTGTTTGAACCCAGGAGTTTGAGACCAGTCTTGGGCATCATGGCAAAATCCCATCTCTACAAAAAATACAAAAATTAACCAGGCATGGCGATGTGCACCTGTAGTCCCAGCCACTTAGGAGGCTGAGGTGGGAGGTTCGCTTGATCCAGGAGGTCAAGGCTCCAGTGCTATGATTGTGCAACTGCACTCCAGCTTGGGTAACAGAGTGAGACCCTGTCTCAAAATAAAAGAAAAGAAAGAAAAAGAGAGAGGAAGGAAAAAGAAGGAAGGAAAAAAGGAGGGAGGGAAGGAAGGGAGGGAGGGAGGGAGGGGGGAAGGAGGAAGGGAGGGAGGGGGGAAGGGGGGAGGGAGGGAGGGGGGG